CAGAGCCCGACGCGGGGCTCGAACTCACGGACCGCGAGATCGTGACCTGGCTGAAGTCGGACGCTTAACCCACTGCGCCACCCAGGCGCCCCTCAAAACAATCTTTATGCCAAAGTGAAATACTCTTCCACCATTCGATTCCAACACAAGGGATCATACTGATAGTAAAGGTCTAATAACATTATTTAGCATCTCTGGGAGTTATGTGCATCTGGCCAAGGCTATAAATGATTTCGAAAAAAAGTCATATGTAATATATGTAAACATATGTCATTCCTAGTTCAGTATTCCTCTTCCTATCTGTGACTCAAAGGCCTAGACTCCTTTCTTGTTATATTTCAAAGTTGTCAACACATGGCTCCCAAGCGTCTCTGGGTGTTTTCTCCATTTCACCTGTCCATATGGGGAAAAGGTTAAGTAAGGCTAGGAAACAGTGCAGACTATACTTTTCCACATTTTATTTGCCAGAACTCAGTCCTATAGCTCAATTTAGCAAACTAGGCTGGGAAGTGGAGTCTAGCTGTGTGCCCAGGAGGAAGAAGGAAAGACTGGGAGGGATCCAGACTCACTATATACTTGGAATCACGAGCACAGAGAGAGAACTGATGAAGATCAGCCCTAGGTCTTTTTTTGTTTGTTTTTTTTATTTTAATAGTTCATTCTACACTTTAAATCATATGTAAAGTTACTTAAACATTTAAATTCAATTATTGGTCTTATTAAAAACGTAGTGTCTTCTGCCAATGGTTGGCACAACTTTTTTCTTATCCAAGGTTTCTAAGTGTCTGATAAAAAAAGAAAACAATCCCATTCAGTGCCCTAGTCCTATTGAATCCATTATGGCAATTACATCGATTCTTAGGACTTTCTTCATAAACTGTAGGATACAACAAGATTACCAAACCTCCCTTATGTGTCAGAGGAACTCACGAATTGGGAGGGTCAAGGGCACTATTTGCAAATGTTACAAATGTTCTTCAGAAAGGGCAAAAATTCTTCCCTGTAAGCTCATGTCACTCCTCTTAGTTTTAGCACCAAGTAATTGGTGGGTTTTTTCTTCTCTAAGTTAACAACTTCATTAATAGAATCTATTTGCAGTTAGTAGTTGTATGCCAAGAAGGTAAGGAATGGTAAATTCTTCACTGAACAAAACATTTTTATTCTTAAAAGGTGGCATGAATAAGGGTAATTAAAAAAAGAAAGCTAAATGAACAATGCCCTGATGAGACCTACGACCTTGGCATTCATGCCCCAATGTTTGGCTAACAGAGTTAACAAGCAACGTGCTCCCGACATCTGGAGGCATACTGCTATTAAGAGGGATGAGCAGCAGAGGAAAACCCAGAGAAGGGGGATCCATTTACAGAGCCTATTCGAAAGGACAGCATTAGGCATCATCACTCCGGCCTTCTTTGGGGTTCCAAGGATGGACTAGATGGGAGGAGAACTTTGGGAGAACACAGGTTGGGATTTTGCTCGGCTGAAACTCTGAAGGATTTTTGGACCCATCCCAAATAGTAAGTACATTTTTTATGAATGTTGAATATAGGTAAGTTGGGGAGAAACACAAGTGAGTTTACATTCATTTGGGTTCTTGACATGACCACAATAAACATGTTCAAGGAAGGGCTCTAGAAGCAGAAAACCACATGCACCTTGGCAAAGAACTGGAGTTCACAGGTTACCATGACAACAAAAGAAGAGGGGAACTGGTAAGGATGGACATAAGGAAGAAAATGGTGTTTCAAACAGACTGACCAAGAATTCTTAACAGTTTAAATGCAGTTTTTTTTAAAAATTATTTTAATGGTTATTTATTTTTGAGAGAGTGCATGCGTGCCCGTGTGCATAATTGGGGGAGGGGCAGAGAGAGAGGGAGACACAGCATCCGAAGCAGGCTCCAGGCTATGAGCTGACAGCACAGAGCCCGACGTGGGGCTCGAACCCACAAACTGTGAGGTCATGACCTGAGCCGAAGTCAGATGCTTAACCGACTGAGCCACCTAGGAGCCCCAAGTTTTAAATATATTTTCCATCTCAGTGATTTACATATATGTTATGTAGAGTTTTCTGGTAAAATTATATACTTTAATTTATTGCTTGCATATTGCAAAGGCAACTTTTTATAAAAGGAAACACTACTTGGCCAGCATGGTAAATGTTCCCAGACGTGTCATCTGCCTTCCAGTATCTCAGCCCTTGCCCTAACTCACAGTTCTTACGTAGTTCTTAGAAATTATGAAAGTAATAAATCAAAGCAATAATAATACAAATTTTAGAATCTGATAAAGCATTCTATTATATGAAGTCTTCCTTCCTCTTGAGTCCTAATTAGCATCATTATGTAATGTTGACTCTGTCTCTAAATAGAGCAAACTACTAAACTGTATCATGAAAGAAAGTGGTACTCTATTGTCAGGAAAGCATTATAAATCTTACAGTAATGTGCAAACATAAAATATAGTAAATTTAGTTTTATTATTTTTTTCAATTCTTCACTTCCTAAGAATATCTATGTATCTATCTATCTATCTATGTATCTATCTAGCCATCCATCCACACATCCTGTGGACTGTCCTCCTAAAAAGCCTTAACCCTCAATGGCATAGTACTTGAAGGTAAGGCCTTTAGAAACAAGAGGGTGGGGCCCTAATCTTGGGATTAGCACCCTTACAAATACCGGAGATTAGCTTGCTTTCTCTCACTTTCCTCTATGTGAGCCAGGAAGAGAGCTCTCACCAGAGTTTGACCATGCTGGTACCCTGACTTCAGACTTCCAGCCTCTAGAACAGTGAGAACTAAATTTGTTTGAGCCCTTCTTTCTGTGGCATTTTATTATGGCATCCTGACTTAAGACAGTATATATGCTAATTCTATATTATAATATGCAATATGTATTATGCACATAAACACACACATACATTCTCTCCCTCTCTCTTTCACTGGTTATATGAGAAATATCATTTCAGACAGATGTCAAATTATGTCTCTGGCCATAACATGAAACTAAATGCCTACTTCTCACCATTGGGATCATTAAATAGTTGCAGTTTAAACCCCAAAATATAATGTATTTTTCAAGGACTGTGTTAATTATTTTTAAAGCATTCATTATTCATCAAAGCATTATGAAAGCTGATTTTTTATAGACTAAATTGTCATGTTAACTAAATATCAACTTTTAAAATAAGGATAATATTATGTTAATTTAGAAAAACTTAAACTAGAATGGGAAGGACCATTCACTGATCAATTCTTATCGCAGCAGTTTTGAGAGGCCATAATGAAGCAAAACAAAAAAACTTTACATATCACAAAAACTGATGGAAATCAATACCTATATTCCTCTTGTGTGAAGCGTGGGATTTCTCCAGGATGTAAGACCAGAATCTTCACTGTGGCACTGCTGGACATCACAGGCTCACCATCATCAAAAGCGACGACCACCAACTTAAAAAGTAATACAAATTCATGTTAAAGATTATTAACAAGAAGAAAAGAAGGCATCATTTTAATCTTTGGACTGCCTGGCCCCAGAAGGGGCGCTGTGATCATGTCCTCACTGTCTGCCAGGTCACAACCACTGTACTAGGATATGTTACATATATTCTCACTTAATCTTTACACCAGTCCCACCATGTAGATGTTTTATGTTCATTTCCTAGACAAGAAAACTCAAAGAAGTAGAGTTACTAACTCTATGATAAAACACTACCAGTAAAAACAGGTAGACAATGCGACATCTCTCCAATGCTTAAACTGATTTCTCTTACACAACCCCACTGGTACCTACAGTAAAACATGTGCCATTATAAGCACCAACACTTATTTAAAAAGTGTTAAATTCAGTCACATCGATAGCAAAAAGCTAATTAGCTTGCTTATAAAAAGAAATTAATTTTTCCAGGGAATTAATTGTCTGCAAGATTATAGGGCAGAAATACTTCACTCTGGAGGATAAAACTGGAAATCTTTCCAGTTTAATACACTTAGATATACACTCTCTTAAAAATATAGACAACCAAGTCCACACTGCATAGTAGAAACAGTTCCAATGATGCAAAATGCAGAGAAGCTTTCATTTCAAGGTGGAACGACTATATAATATTTATTACTATAATTTATAATTTAGTTTTTGATAACATATATTATGTCAAGAATAATTCTTCCATTTAAGAAGTGTTAAATATTTTCAAACTATGTGTTTGTCCAGAATGTGTATAATTTTGGAAGCTACAGCTATTAATCTAAACCAGTTCAACTTAGACCATGAAGCCATAACTAAGGATCATCCTGCAGCCCATGATTTAGCCTTGGGTTAATATTTTACAAATGGAACAATTTCTCCCAACAGTGGTAGGATTATGTGAGGCATGGTACCCATGACACCCACAAGGTTAACCGATGAGGGCATTTCCTCATTGCAGGGTCAGAGGCTTTATTAACAATGAAAAAAGTATTCTAAGTAATTACAGAAGAGGGAAATGCTCAGACATTTAATAAAATAGATTATTTATGGTAATAGTGAAGGGTAGCACTATTTCAAATTTTCTGGAAGTATAACTTATCATGGGTACGTAGACTTGACCCAACAATTCTGCATCTCGGTATTTAAGGGAAAGAAATCGGGTCAGCAGCAAAAGTTATTGCACAAAGAGGTTCACAACAGCAAATTTTATCATGACAAAAAATTAGAAACAGCCTAATTATCCAACAACAAAGTATTAGACAAAATGATAATAGTGGATTCATACAATAGAACATCATATAACCATTAAAATAATACCACTACCAGTATTTATTGGCATGGGCAATATATTATGAAGTTAAAAAAGCAGTATGAATAATAGGATCATGTTATTTTATTTACTTATTCATTTTGTTAAGTTTATTTACTTATTTTGAGAGAGAGGGTGTGTGCATGTGTGAGCAAGGTGGGGGAGTGGCCGAGAGAGGGAGAGAGAGAGAATCCCAAGCAGGCTCTGAGCTGTCAGCCCAGAGCCCAATGCAATTCTTGATCCCATGAACTATGAGATCGTGACCTGAGCAGAAACCAAGAGTCCGATGCTTAACAGACTGAGGTTAAGCCACCCAGGTGTCCTTTATTTGATCATATTATTTGAAAACACATTATGTGTGCACTTGCATTTGCATGGAGTGTCATCATAAGGATAGATACTAAAATGGTAAATTCTAGTTATCTCCAAGATGTGAAATATGAAGTGTACTTTTTTCTTTTGCTTATCTGATTCTCTAAATATCTATGTGGTTAAAAAATATATTATTTTGTAATTTAAATTATTTTGTACAGCCATCTGTTAAACTGAACTCTCAGAAGTTAAATATCAAACAGACCATGTAAGGGAAACACGGCACTGACCTTAAAAATTGTCGTAGGTTCTTCATTAAGATTGACTCGAGTTATTACTCTTCCAGAATCTTCTTCTACGTCAAAAATACTAGCAGGATAAGGAAACTGGACATCATCTACTCTGTACCTCACACGACTTGCAGGTAATCCCTAGAATGAAATTATATATTATGAATTTACTCTTCACAAAATGAAAACAAAGAGTATCGATGATGCAAAACTGATCTATAAAACGCATGGCCTTTTAGAAGTAAAAGATCATATTAAGCCATCACACTTCCACGTGTGAAATGCCACAGCCTCTCCACCTGTTACTGAAAACGATTTATGTGAAACAATAAACTACTGGCTGCCTTGAGCATCTTCTCTTCCACTTTCCTTTAATTGTAGGAATCTCACCCGACCGAAACACCATGTGTGCTTAATAGTTTAGCTTCTAAGACAATTCTAAATTATGTTCTTTCATTGTGCTTTTCTGAACTCTGACACTCAGAGCACGATGAAATGCGGAAGATCTGGAAGACTTGTAAAGTGGAAGGATAGGTACGGATGGGGAGGAGACAGAAAGTACCATCTGCTCTGTGCTGTTTAACACCTAGGTTTTTTCATAGATAAATTAATCCTCGTAACTAACAATCCTTTAGGATATCATTACTAATGACGGTGATAGTAATAATAGTAAAATAATGAGCCTAATCTTTGTTGAATGGTTACTATGTGCAAGAAGCATAGTAAAGATGATACATATATATTCTACCACCCATTTTTTTAAATTTTCAGTTAATGAACTTGAGGCTTATGGGGAGTTAAAGGATGTTGACTTGTCCCAGTTATAGACCAAGATAAGTCAGGATAGTTAAATAATTTTTAGAAAAATAAATTAAGATTTGATAAAACTTTTAGACTGTAATAAAAATAGTCAAGATTGTTGGACATCCTCACTTACATTAGGGTTTAGGTTGGTCTTTTTTTGAATTATAGTAAGTGACACTGGTGTGTCAGTATAATCTTTTCAGTGCTTAAGCCAGCCCTTGAGGTGAAGTAAACAATTTGAACACAGAGCTGGCATGTGGTAGATTTGACCTCAAACCCAAACAGATGCTATGTGAACCACTAAATTCCTAGGATGAAAACATTCCCAAGCTTCAGTCATGGACATGTCTACCTTCTCTACCTGTATTTTTAGACTCTACAATCTCTTCCAGTCCTTTAAACAACTTTTATTTGTTCACAACTCCCAAAGTTAAATTCTGGCTACACTCATTCTTTAAACTCCCAAGTAATATATATAATAGTCAACTTAGATGTTCTATTTTTAACTCAACATATCCCAAAACAGCATATTGATTTCCTCTCCCAGACATATATGTAATCCACTCTAGGTCAATGGCCCCACCCTTTTACCAAGTTGGTCTCTCTGAAAGCCCTAGGGAAGGCATTGACCCTTCTCATTCTTTCAGACTCCACAACTGAACTGTCCTCAAGTCCTGCCAATAGCTCAATGAAAGCATGCTTAATATAGGTCATTTTCGTCTTCTCTATCAATTTGTTTCCTACAGTGGACCCTTAATTGAACTTCTCCTTCTATTCTATTTGAATTATCTTAAAATATATAAACCATCTCTGAGATATAAAAATGTAAACTATAAACTGAGAGTTTTTCCCCTACTAAGGTCAGGAACAAGACAAGGATGCCCACTCTCACCACTTTTATTCAACATAGTACTAGATATCCTAGCTACGGCAATCAGACAAGAAAAAGAAATGAGTTATCCAAATTGGTAAGAAAGAAGTAAAACTTCCATTATTTGCAGACAACATGATACTATATATGGAATCCTAAAGAGTCTAGCAAAAACAAGCAAAACAAAAAACAACAACAACAAAAAGAAACTACTAGAACTGATAAATTAATTCAGTAAGATCTCAGGATACAAAATCAATATTCAGAAATCCATTGCATTTTTATATATTAATAATTAAGTAGCATAAAAAGAGATTAAGAAAACAATCCTATTTACAATTGCACCAAAAGTCATAAAATACCTAGGAATAAACTTAACCAAAGAAGTGAAAGACCTTATTTCAAAATCTATAATATACCAATGAAAGAAACTGAAGAAAACACAAATAAATGGAAAGGTATTCTATGCTCAAGGATTGGGAAAATAAAACATTGTTAAAAGGTCCATACTACCCAACAATCAAAAAATTCCATGCAATCTCTATATAAATACCACCAATATTTTCACAGAACTAGAACAAACAATCATAAAATTTGTATAGAACCAGAAAAGACCCCAAAGAGCCAAAGTTATCTTGAAAAAGAAAAACAAAACTGGAGGTAGTACAATCCCAGCTTTCAAAATATACTACATAAAGTAATTAAAACATGACCGTCCTGCCACAAAAAACAGACAAACAGATGAATGGAACCAAACAGAACCTGAAATAAACCCACAATTATATGATCAGTGAAACTTAAACAAAGGAGGCAAGAGTATGCAATGGGAAAAGACAGTGTTTTCAACAAATTATATTGGGAAAACTAGAAACAAAATGAAAACGAATGAAACCAGACTTCTTTCTTATGCCATTCATAAAAATACATTCAAAATATATTAAAGACTTAAATGTGAAACCTGAAACCATAAAAATCCTAGACGCGAACACAGGTAGTTAATTTCTCTGACATTCATTATAGCAACATTTTTCCAACTATGTCTCCTCAGGCAAGGGAAACAAAAGCAAAAATGAACTATTGGGACTATATCAAAATAAAAATCTCTGCACAGCAAAGCAAATAATCAACAAAATTCAAAGATAACCTAATGAATGGGAGAAGACATCTGCAAATACATAACCGATAAAGGGTTAGTATCCAAAATATATAAAGAAGTTAAACACCTTAAGGCAAAAAAACAAATAATCCAGCTAAAAATATGCAGAAGACATGAAAAAACACTTGCCAAAGACACACAGATGGACAAAAGACACATGAAAATATGTTCAACATCACTCATCAGCACAGAAGTGCAAATAAAAACTACAGTGAGGTATCACCTCTCACATGTCAGAATAAAACAAAAAACACAAGAAACAAAAAGTGTTGGTGAGAATATGGAGAAAAAGGGACCCTCGTGTACTGTTGGTGGGAATGGAACTGGGTTCCTGAAATAATTGAAAAGAGAATTACAGGGGTGCCTGGGTGGCTCGTCGATTAAGTGTCCAAGTCTTGGTTTAGGCTCAAGTCACCATCTCAGAGTTCGAGGGACAGAGCTCCACATTGGGCTCTGGGCACACAGCTCAGAGCCTGCTTAGGATTCTCTCTCTCTCTGTCCTTCTCTGCACCCCCTTCTCAAAATAAATAAATAAACATTAAAAAAATTAAAAGTAAAATTACCCTATGATCAGGTAATTTCACTACTGGAATTACCAAAGAATACAAAAACACTAATTCAAAAAGATATACACACCCCAATGTTTACTGAAGCATTATTTACAATAGCTAAGATATGGACGCAGTTCAAGTGCCCATCAATTGGTAGAATATATGTATGCTTTATATTTATATTTATATTTGTATTATATTTATATTTGTATTTGTATTTGTATCTATATACATGCTACATATGTATCCTGGAATAGTGTTCATCCATAGCAGAGGATGAGATCTTGCCATCTGTGACAACATGGCTGAACCTAAGTGAAATAAGTCAGAATAAGAAAGACAAACACCATACGATTCACTGATATGTGGAATCTCAAAAACAAAACAGATGAATAAACAAACAAAAAGCAGAATCAGACCCATAAACACAGAGAATAAATAGATGGTTGCCAGAAGGGAGGTAGGAAAAATGGGTGAAGGGGACAGGGAGGTACAAGTTCTATTATAGAATAAATCAGTCACAGGGATGAATGGCACAGCACAGGGAATACGGCCAATGGTACTGTGATAGTGATGTGCGGTGACAAAGAGTAAGTACACTTGTAAGCACAGATAATGTCTTGAGTTGTTTATTTTTATTTATTTATTTAAAAAAATTTTTAATGTTTATTTATTTTTGAGACAGAGAGAGACAGAGCATGAACGGGGGAGGGTCAGAGAGAGAGGGAGACACAGAATCCGAAGCAGGCTCCAGGCTCTGAGCCATCAGCCCAGAGCCTGACGCGGGGCTCGAACTCACGGACCGTGAGATCATGACCTGAGCCGAAATTGGACGCTTAACTGGCTGAGCCACCCAGGCGCCCCTGTCTTGAGTTGTTTAACTACTATGCTGTACATCTGAAACTAATAGGACATTGTGTGTCAAATATACTCAAATTAAAAAAAAATAATGATAATGACAGGAGTTGTCAGCTGTTCATTTGTGCACTTTACTACATTATCAGAGAATGTTCATTTCATGCATTTTCATGTTTATGCTTACAAGAAATTCAGGAGTTGGCATGAGTAGTAACCATATTTTACAAAAAGAAAATCAAGCCTTTAAGAGTTATCTAGTTTCCAGCATTTCCTCAGATAGTACATTGCAGTGTTATTACTCGGATGAAACACAGCTCGTACTAAAACATAGGTCCTTACACATTAACCCAACTTAACATTCATCTATGCTATCCGACAGGAACACTTTGACATGAGAATGAATAGCGATACAATTGAGCAAAGTTACTTGGGAAAAATGCTCTAGAATTAGAAGCCCTTGTAAACCCTGCCTTAGGGCTCCGCCCAGGGAAGTTCCGGAACACATATCCCGTGAGGAATGAATGAAGAAAGAGCAAGATGACAGCACAAACTGTTTCAGGAATGAAATTTCAGGGTTTCTGTTAGATTCGGCACCCATTCTGTCTGTAGTATAACCAAAATTCTGAGGGCAATCACAAGATTAGTGACCAAGAAACTTTAAGAATGTTCATTATACACCACACACGCTCTTGACTAAAGCCGGCACATTCATGGTCCATTCTCAAGTACAGCTTTAACTGATCAAATACAAAGAGAAAAAGTTCTGGTTTTATAGAATGCTGTCTCTCACATGCCTAAACTATTTGGCTAACCAGAACACCAGGCCCTTCCTAGAGAATCATTACAGATAAATTTGTATGTATATGAAAATAAATGTTATATGTTACCTATGTCAATGAAC